GGCCAGACACGTCAAAATGGCACTGAGTGATTAACCTCGTCATACTGCGTCGCTCGCGTCGCGCCACCCACTGGAATAATTAATAGCCTCGCGTGTCCACTAGTCCGCGACACCTTCTTATGTCCTGACGGGCCTAGCCGGGCCCACAATGCCACACAAGGCCGGAACCGCGAACGAAACCGCCAACCAACGCCCCTTTTTCTCTATTTCAGCTGAAAAGGAAGTCCGAAACGTAGACGCCCTTGCTGTTGAAACGCCCATGCATTTGATGAAAATGCCATCAAGTTGTGATAATATTGTCATCGTTTGAAAGTGATGAAAATATCATCCACGATTTGGTCATAAAGCGACAACAAATTTTCCCAGTGCAGCAGTCACCTCCACTGATTGAGCGGTTACGTGATTTTTTGAACGCCCCGCAGCCGCCGCGGACGAGGCTGGCTGGGCCGCCGAGCCCCGCCATCGCCGCGCTATCGAAAACGCGTTTAGCCGTCTGGCTGTAAAGTAAAGTCGCCCGGGCAGATACGCAGCCCACACCACATAAATCAGGGGCGCCTCCCGGGTGGGTAGTGCCACGCGGTGCCAGGCAGTGCCACGCAGGCTGGCCGGTAGTGACGCCCGGATCCAGTGACAATGAGCATCCCGGAGCCTCCAGGAGCCCTCCCTCCCCCTCTACAGTGGGCCAGAAGACCGGTGGAGGCGGCCAAAACTCTAGACGCGTTTTGAGCTCTAGAGTCACTAAACAGGCCTCGAACCGAACGTGTGACCCCACCAATGGATTGCTCTCCGAACAAGGAATCCATTGGTGGGGTCAGACGTTCGGTTCCAGTCCCATTTAGCGACTCTGGAGCTCAAAGCGCGTCTAGAGTTTTGTCCGCCTCCGCCGGCCTTCTGGCCCACTGTGCCCTCCCCGCTGAAAGGGTGGCGGCCTGGGGGGGCCCGGCGGAGTGCGGGAGACAGGCCCTGCTGGACATGTGGGAGGGCGAAAGGAGTGAGCGGGCCTTCCATCTGACCTCAGGACCCAAGAGCTGGACGCTGACGAGTCCCGCACAGCAGTCTAATTCGCTCCTTCATCATCGTCACCATGGCAGGCCGGCCCGGCCCGGGGCCCCAGCCCTGCTCGGCGCCTGTCCGCAACCCTCCGTCGCCAGACCCGAATTATATACCTGCACCACCAGGGCGTGGAAAGGAAGGGGAAAGGAAAGGCACTGGTTGGAATTTCGCCCGTTTTTCGCGGGTCGCAGTTCGGTTTCGGAAACAGCGGGACCAAAAAGGTGCAGCGGTGCCCGGCCCGCGGGCAGTTCGCTTCGTCAGAACGGTTTTCAATTATCGACGCGCGGACCGGATTGGATGCCGGTGCGTCGCGTGGCGTCCAGAGTCGTTTTCGTCGCTCTGTCTCGCTCGCACTCACGGGACGTCCCTCATAGTTGACAGAGAGCGACGAAAACGACTCGCGAAATCAGTCCGCTGGAACGCGAACACCACTCGCTTTCCATATTCCCGCGGTTTTCACGGTCGCGGCGGGTGACTGATTCCGCCCCGGCAGCACACCGATTCCGAGAGTCGTTTTCGTCGCGATGCCTCTCTCGCACCTGCACGCGACGCCCCGTGGGTGCGGGAGAGACGGAGCGACGAAAACGACTCTCTGAATCAGTCGTCTGGTCGCAGGTCTGACCACACCGCTCCGCTGTGCTCCGCGCTCCGCGCTCCGCACCGCAGCGCCGTGGGCGGACGGCGCCCTGTCAACCCTTCCAGCTCCAGCCTGGACGGCCAGCCTTCCAGATCGCAGTCCTCGGAGGGTAGGCTGTCCCTCAGAGCCGCGCGGCGCCACGCCGGCCCCGCCGTCCTCGCCATCCTCGCCAGCCACGAGAACAAAGGACGCCGTCCCCCATCTGTCCTTCTGGTCCCTCCTCTCTCTCTCTCTCTCTCTCTCTCTCTCTCTCTCTCTCTCTCTCTCTCTCTCTCTCTCTCTCTCTCTCTCTCTCTCTCGGGCCTCGCCGCCGGCCCCACATTAACACGCTACTGGCCCTCACTAACACATTTTACTGTCAATTTCGCCCGGGATGCGACGGGGCACATGCCAGCCGGGAAGGATGGAAGACCGCCGAAGACCGAGTGGAAGCGCGCTGTGGCCGGCCGCTTTGGCCGGCCAATGTTTACTTTTTGACCTGGTTTTTCTTTCCTTTTTGAGTGTACTGGACGTACGATAGTTAGCAGCCCTTTGAAAGAGATCGAAAACTAGGTAGTGACTTCCTATTGTCATGTATATGGCTTAACCTGCCGATTTAGTAATCAATACTTTGCAATGGTGAAAAAACAATGTATCTCGTTTTTGTTCTTGACGGGCGATGCCTGAGAGCTCCCTTCTTGACGGAGCGGTGCTGTCTGTGATTGGCTGCTGACTAATTGATTGATGGAGTTGCATCGAGTCGAAGATGGATCCTCCTCACACGAGCACTGCTAATCTGGGCAGCCTGGATGGACGGAATGAGGACGTGTTACCTTTGGCTGGCCACTCACAGTGGGCCAGAAGACCGGTGAAGTTGGCCAAAACTCTAGACGCGTTTTGAGCTCCAGCGCTGAATAGGCCTCGGACCGAGCGTGTTACCCCACCGATGGATTCCTCGTTCGGAGAGCAATCCATTGGTGGGGTCACACGTTCGGTTCCAGTCCCATTTAGCGACCCTGGAGCTCAAAACGCGTCTAGAGTTTTGTCCGCCTCCACCGGTCTTCTGGCCCACTATGCCACTGCCGTGGAAATGGGATAAGTGAAACCCTTGGCTGGTTCAGTGTGAAAAGTGGGGCACGCGTCTGGTCACGGTGAGTCATAAGAAAACCCTTCCGGAAACAAAGTGTACACCTAACAGGCGATGTCTGACTTATGTGGTCATTGAGGCTCGCGTCACGTGGGAGGAGGATGGATGAGCGCCCCCCCCCCCCCCCCCCCCCTTCTCTCTCTCCCAGTGGCGTCGCTCCTTGCTGGCGCCACGCTCCCCCAGGCCGGATGAATTCGCAAAATTCACAACTGCGCGTCTCTGGCGCGTCTCTCCGTCCATTGTCGGGCAAACGTTAGCATGTGACGTCGTGTTGACGGGCCGCGCTCTCTCTCTCGCACTGCTCTCCCACTCTCCTTTGTCTCTCTCTGCCCTCATCGCCGCTGCAGGCCGAGAGTCGTCGCTCTGTCTCTCTCCCACTCACGGGGCGCCCCGTGTAGGCGCGAGAGAGACAGAGCGACTCTCAGTGTGCTGCCTTTTGTTTTGTCTTGGTTATCAGCGGCGATCTGGCGAATCTATGCCCCCATCTCCCTCTCGCTGCACCTCCCCTTCATGCGGTCCCCAAAAAAAGAGCAGCGGGGCCGCGACTTTTATCACTCTCTGTTTCACTCGTGGCGCGTCACGCGGGGGTGCGAGAGAGACGGGGCGACGAAATCGCCCAGCAGGCCAACACGGTGCTAATCAGACGCGCTACCGTGCCCAGCCACCTGCCATTGTCTCGTAATGAGAAGAAAGGGAAAGTACACTTCGATGGCAATCGACTCTGCACCTCGGAGGAGGGAATATGAATTTCGAGTCCCGAATTAATCGTGTCCTTGTCAATTAGGGGCTGTGTTCATGTTTCCGCCAAGATGATTTCACCACCGAAATTTATCGGACTGCTAGTCATTTAACACGAGGCCTTTGTTAGACGTACCTTACCTTGGTGCGAAATCGGTTCATGCAGAGCCGCTAAATGGAACTCGAACTCGAGTGACCCCACCAATGGATTGCTCTTCGAACGGGGAATCCATCGGTGGGGTCACACACGTTCGGTTCGGAGGCCTGTTTAGCGACTCTGGAGCTCAAAACGCGTGGAGAGTTTCGGCCGCCTGCGCGGGTCCTCTGGCCCACTGGTCGTTCTGCCGGTCCGAGTAGTGGCCTCAGCCCTGCCGGCTGGGACTCTCCCGCGGCGCTCCGCGGCGCTCCCGTCGCTCTCCGGGGCCCCGGACTGGACTGACTCTCCGGAGGGACAGCGGACGCCACCCTTTGTTTTCGCATGTTGAGCGGCGGGCTGTCTGTCAGGGGCAGCGCCGGCGGCGGCCAAGGCAGCCCGGGCGGCGTACGTGTGCCCGGCACGGCCGGCACACTGCCTCCCGCTCGTCCGTCCCATCGAGCAGCAGTCCGTCGCTCTGTCTCTCTCGCACTCACGGGGCGTCCCGGGTCGGTGCGAGAGAGACGGAGCGACGGCGCTCGGCATCGGCCTGCGCTCCTTGGCGCCAAGATGCGGACGGGCCGCCCCGCGGGACGCCGTGGACGCCCTGGACGCGGCGGGATGCGACGCCCGGTTACACCTAATTACGTTTCCGCTTCATTTGAGGCCACGTGACACGCGCCGGGACCGACGCGCCGAGACGCCCGGAGACGTCCGCGGCCGGACTCGATCGCGTTTTAGTTCCGTGTTCGTCTTTGCGTCCCTCGCGACACGTCCTTCCCCGTCCGTCCAGTAACTCGCGGCGACGTATGAGCATTTGGGTTTGTTTTTGCGTCAAAACGACGTTAATTGACGTCATTTGGAGGTGACTATACCTGAGGAAGTTTTTCGCTGTCGTTTGGAGACGGCCCCTCTGCCCCGAATAAATGAAGTCGGCGATTTGTGTGTGTGTGTGTGTGTGTGTGTGTGTGTGTGTGTGTGTGTGTGTGTGTGTCTCTGATTTCCGTTCGGCCTCTGCGTAGCCCTGTCTTACATTGGCGGTCGTCGTCTCTCTGCACTGCTCTTGCAAGCGGTGCTACAAGACCGCCCAAGTAATAAAGCTAATTTATCGAATTATATTTCACAGCCTGCGCTGCGCGGCTTGCGCTGGTCTGCGCGTATCGGCCTGCCATAAGGATGATCGCGTTCGGGCCGCTAATCCGGCGGCGAATATCATTTCCTCCCTTGCGCGCCTTGGCGAGTCGTTATGGGCCTTTTCCCTGGGCGACCGATGCATTTGCCGCTTACATCCGCGGGGCGATGGGAGAAGTTACCGATGAGCTAGCGGCCGCGCCGAAGGTTTTAACGCGCGGCCTAGTTAACCCCGGACATGAGTGCGTCAGCGTCAGACGGGGGAACGTGTGGATGCACTCTCTAATATGAAGAGTTTCCACCATGATGAGAATTTTCACCACCATGATGATGAGAATTTTCACCATGAGGGGAATTTTCACCATAATCATGATGAGAATTTTCACCACGATGAAGGGAATTTTCGCAATGATGAGAATTTTCGCAATGATAAGAATTTTTGCAATGATGAGAATTTTCACCATGATACGAATTTTCACCATGATTAGGGTTATTTTCACCATGATGAGTAAAAACATCACCAGGATGTGGATAAATTTCGCCATGATGTGGATAATTTTCATCATAATATGGACAGTCTTCACCATCAGACAGATAATTTTCACTATAATATGGAGAACCTACATTCACTGTGAGACTCGTAAGAGTGCAACGGGCCGGTGAGGACCTCTAATTGTGAAAGATCATGCAACAGTTAGATAAAGGGAGCGCGCACGACGTACGGGTCGCCGTGTGACAAGGCTGCGCTTTGCACTCGGGTCCGTGACAAAGTCTTGCGAACTAGGCGCCAGTTTTGAGGCAACTGTGCGCACGCGCTGCGCTGAATGGGCCAACGTTGCTTCAACGAGACCGAAAAGAATAGCACGCCAGCGGCGTACAACTGTGGCACGTGCTCCTGCGTGTTCGACGGCGATTGAACGTCGTAGTCCCCGGTGGAAAAGGACAACGCTCCACAGGTTCACGAATGCCTACGCCCCAGGCGGCGTAGCCCCGTGTGAGGTAGGCAACGTGCTCCACATGCGTGTTCGACGGGACTGCCTACGCCCCACGGCGTAGCCCCGGTGGAGGTGGCAACGTGCTCCACAGGGGTGTTCGACGGGACTGCCTACGCCCCAGGCGGCGTAGCCCCGGTGGAGGTAGGCAACGTGCTCCACAGGCGTGTTCGACGGGACTGCCTACGCCCCAGGCGGCGTAGCCCCGGTGGAGGTAGGCAACGTGCTCCACAGGGGTGTTCGACGGGACTGCCTACGCCCCAGGCGGCGTAGCCCCGGTGGAGGTAGGCAACGTGCTCCACAGGGGTGTTCGACGGGACTGCCTACGCCCCAGGCGGCGTAGCCCCGGTGGAGGTAGGCAACGTGCTCCACAGGGGTGTTCGACGGGACTGCCTACGCCCCAGGCGGCGTATTGGATACGTTTAAACTTCAATTTTGTTTGCGAGGTTGATTGTGGTGGATCTTTGGACGGCGTCCTTCGGTCCTTGCCGGCCGTGTCTGCCGCGCGGCATCCGTGTCAGGTGTAACAAGTCGCGCTCTCTTTAGTGTCAGGACGAGTCGGGCCCGTCCCGGCCCGTCCCGGGACGCCACTTCACCGTCAGATTAAGACTGACAGCGGCTGCAGTCCCGTCGCCGGCGTCGCCCCGCAGCATGTGTGTCGCGCGCTCGTCTCCATCGCCCTTTCGGCACCACTAACCCCTTTTTCTACGCGGCATCGGGAGGCTTCTGCGGACTGAGCGTCGTCTCTCTCGCCTTCATAGGGCGTCCCGCATAGGTGCGATAGAGACAGAACGACGAAAACGACTCTCGGACCTTAATTCGCTCTTTCATTCGCGCGGGGCCCCTCCACTCAGCAGAGGCCAAGTTGAGCTCCTTTCCAGCCTGCTGCTGCAGTTTGGGACAGGTGCGAGGACTGCGCAAAAAAGACAAACATTGCAGCGCTACTTGGGACACGGCACGGCATGGCCCGGAGCTGGACGGCCGCCTCTCCCTTTCCCCTCCCCCCTCCCCCCCCCCTCTCCTCCCTTCCCTTGGTTCGGCCGTGCGGGTTGACGGGGATTGTTCTTCCTCGCAGAAAGATACATGCAAATGCTCTGCGTCCTCGTCGTCGCTGGTGGTGAAATTCGAGGAATCGCACAGCGCACGGCGCAGCACAGCGCAGCACAGCGCCTTCGCTGCCACTGCTACTAATACTGTTGTCGTTGGGTCGGTCGCGTCGTGGCCGGGCCTTGTGCCGCACGCTACGTGCGCGCCTAGCGAGCCTCTCTCTCTCTCTCTCTCTCTCCCTCTCTCTCTCTCTCTCTCTCTCTCTCTCTCTCTCTCTCTCTCTCTCTCTCTCTCTCTCTCTCTCTCCCTCTCTCTCTCACAGCTTCCTGAAAATGTGAACCATATTCCCCCTTGGTTTCAGCATGCGATGTCACCAATTTGTGATCTTTTCAAAGCCCTGAAAATATACAGTGGCATCCCTGCTTCCAGTGCTGCGCGCACGATGAAAAACTATTAACTCGCCGCGAAAGAGGGCCTGATTGGCAGACTGGGGACAGTGACTCCACCTCTCTCTCTCTCTCTCTCTCTCTCTCTCTGGCCGTGCCCCGGGGAATGTCATTTCAGCAAATGGCCGGAAGGAGTAGGGCTTCGCTTCCGGCTGAAAAAGTTGGTGACATCTCGGCGTGACGGCGCGCGGCGGTCGTCAGACGAGACGAGCGGCGGAGAGACGTCCGAGTTCGGCTTCGCCTTCGGACAAGACGAGACGTCTAGCCAAGTCGAGAAGAAGAAGAAGAAGAAGAAGAAGAAGAAGAAGAAGAAGAAGAAGAAGAAGAAGAAGAAGAAGAAAAAAAAAGAAGAAGAAGAAGAAGAAAAATAATAAGAAGAGCAAGGAGAAGAGCAAGAAGAGGAGGAAGAAGTAGAAGACCCGCCGGCAGCATCGCACGGATGCCGTGCCTGTTATGACCTTCGACGGTAGCCATTTCATTTCTGAACGTCGCAGCGATACGTTCCCGTCGGTCACCGCGGCCAATTCCACTGACCACGTAGCACCGAGCGTAGTGGCAGCGAGCGTAGCGGCAGTGAGCGTAGCGGTTTGCCACGTTACCTCAGGACTGTATGGATGGGTCCACTGGCGGAGAGCGTAGAGCGAGCTCTCAATCTTGTACAGTGAAGATTCTCTATATTATGGTGAAAATGTTCCCTTTTATGGTGGATGGTGGTGCACCTGACTTCATAACATACCATTTAGAATTCACTGTTCATTATAGATATTTTGACGAATTTTTATGGCCTCGTCTGTTCAATTCTGCTCGAATCTTAAACTCGTTCCTTTGCCTGTGTTGCAGGTGAGTGCGAGCTGGCAGCCAAATTTGCGGAGTATCGTCAAGAAGGTTTGGCGCTCTCCACGTTCCGTGAGTATCGCAAACTGTCTCGCTTCTTTCGGCCTGAAGCGTCTGAAACGTCATGATAAATCGACTCATTTCAATCGCGCGAAGGGAATGAATGAAAAAGCAGCCAATTTTGACCCTCCTCGGCAGAAATGCCGAGAAAAGAGCAATTAAAAGTAGGTCATCTTCGCCTATTGTTCTTTGATGAGGGAGAAAGATGCGACCAAATGAAAAGTGTTTAATTAACGACGACTCGTCACCGTCTGCCTGAAGGACAGCGGGCTTTCATCATGCCCTTTCTTCTCTCTTTTTTCCCCGGTTGGGCATCCCTCATTCTCTGCCGATTTTGTGTCTTGGGGATGACTGCTTTTCATCACTTTGCGTACTACGACTATGCTTGTAAAGAATAATAATAATAATAATAATAATAATAATAATAATAATAATAATAAGAAGAAGAAGAAGAAGAAGAAGAAGAAGAAGAAATAGAAGAAGAAGAAGGCAAGTTAGTGTTGTGATTGATTCTTGGTGTAGGAAGTCTCGTCACCTGTAGACTATGATTCAGCTGTCTCTCTCGCACTCATGGGGCCCCCCGAGTAGGTGCGAGAGAGACAGACCCTCGGAATCGGTCTGCTGGAGGCATAAAGCAAGGATAAAGGGAACGGTCGCGGTTCCACTTAGGCCGCTACACCGGGCACGATAAGAGTGAGAGGTTTACTGGGCCTGCGTGCACAGCGCGGCACAGCGCAGCGTGAATGGACCGTCGGACAGGTTCCTCGGAGACAGTATTTGAAACCGGTAGCCGTTTCCTGATTCGACGAAACACACGCGCTGAATCAGCCTATATCTCACACCGTCACACCGGGAAAATTTATTTCACACTTTTCCCCCTCTTGTTGTGTCGATTGAAATCAAAAACCTTTTCGCTGTGAGGATGCATAGCAAGGGGAGACCACTGCGAATTTCAGTGTACAAATGCAATGAATTTCGGTTAAATTTTGATGAATTTCTGGCAAAAACTACTGAATTTCGAGAAAAATTTCAATGAATTTCAAGGAAATTTAATGAATTTTACATGTTTGATGAATTTTTGTGTACAACTTTGGCTGGAGTTATTTCCCCTTGATCCATAGAGCCTTAGTGCACTTTCTGCTTGCGAGGTGAGCACTGTACTGAAAATTCAGCCTCTCTCTCTTTTTTGGCACAGTCACTCTCCGCCTCGCTATCCTCCTCTCTCATTTCGTCGCCCGGCTGTCATTAATTGGCGTTAACTCATGGCTGTCTGAGGTGCCGAGCCGGCGATACGAGAAGGAAAGGTGGAGGGGGAATCCAAAGTTTGGAGAAGAGGTAGCAGCGGCCGTGGAGCGGGATATGGAAGGCAGGGAGAGGGGGGTGGGGCTTTTATTTTGTGTGATCGCATAAACTCTTGTACAAGTGACATGGGAGGGGCGCTGCAGCGGTGAGGAGAGGGGGGGGGGAGAGGCAGCGACCTCTTAAGTAAGTATGGTACAAAATAAGGATGGACGATACGGCCAGACCACCACGGGTGTCAATATTCGGAAAGGGACTGGTCAAAGAAAAAGAATCGCAAAACGCAATTTTTTCAAATTACTGGCAAAGGTGAAGTTCACCATATTTTTTTCAAAATGGTCATCCTCGGGAGCAAATTTGCGGGTAGTCACTTTGCGTTCGCCAGAGGAATCGAGAGAGAGAGTGAGCGATTGAATGCGTGCTGTGTCCGTCTGATTGTTTCTGTTTGGTTTCCGAGACAAAAAGACGCGAATGCGTTCGAAAGGCGCTGCGCGGTGCTGCGCTGCGGCGCGCTGTCTTGCTGTGTGTGGTTTAGGACCTGGCGCGCCGTGGCGGGGAGGAAGGCCTCCCGCCACTTTATGCGTCTGCGAGGAAAACAAGAAGGTGGCCGCGCACCTCGCGATAAGGGCGGAGGCTACAGTACTGCACGGGGCGGGGCGGGGCGGGGCGCGCTGGATCGCCAGACCACCAAATGCACGCGTGGCATGTTTACGGCTGTCAATGAAGTCTTGAGGGAAGGCGGAGCGCGGAGCGAGAGAGAGGGGCGACATGCTTTAGGAGGCCGTCATGATAGGAAGAAGCCATCAGCATGGCCGCGCCGCAGCGCTCGCTCTGTCTCTCTCGCGCTCACGGGGCGTCGCGCAGGGG